TCCTTCCCCTCGCTGTGCCGGGCTCCAGACCGGCTGAGCACCGGCAGCGGGAGATCTGGTCCCCCCGGGGACCGTGGCTCACTGTCTGCTCTCCTCTCGTGTGTGTTTCTGGGACGGGGGGCCGCCCTGGAGGAGCACCTCGTCTTCCCGGAGCACTTTTCCACGCAGAGCGGAGCAGACGGGCTGGGCACAGCTCGCCTGAGGCTGGGCCTCGTCTGGAGTAAGTTTCGCGTCCCAGGGTGTCAGCCAGCAGATTGGAGACGTCGACTGTGTTTCCTGCTGTGGGTCTGGTCAGAGCTGTGAATGACGCGAGTCGACGAATCAGACTTTGAGGCCGACTGGGGCTGCTGAACATTCTCTGGGTTGGGGGGTGGCTGCGGCCTCCTCTGGATTGGAGATGGAATCCAGGTCGTCTGGGCTGCTTTGTTCAAAGAAGTGACGGACCCACTGGACCACCCTGATCTGACGGAGGAGTCCGGCTTCCCCCGGCGTCTGCTGTTGGCTTTGAGCCTGTGCAGTAGTGACTGTAGTAGATGGGTGGGTTGGCACCAGGCCACCACAGTCCACATCTGCAGGGGACAGGTTCTCCCTGTAGGTGCAGGCTGGGGCCTTGGGGTTTGGGGAAAGCTCCGTCATGTGTTGGGATCATCCAGTGGTGGCCTTTGCTGTGACTCTTGTTGACAGCGGTATGGGTCCTGGGGGTCCCTCCTGGGTGGGGTCAGGGTTGACTGTGTCTCTCAAGAATTTGGTCCTCAGGTTCTGGGGTTGTTTTTAAAGGTTATGCATTTGGGGTCGTCCGAGATGTGGTGAGTTGCCTCATTTCTGCGGGGTGAGGAATTGTTCTCCACAGCTAGCCAGGTCTTCTCCCTTCTGCCATACAAAGTCATTTAAAATGTCTTTTGAATCTCAATACGCAAAAGTTTCAAGTTCCAGTTTCTAATTCTCTATTATCCCCATTGATTTGAGCTCATGAATTGTCACAGGAAATATCTGTGCTGGACATCCATTGTGGCTGCACTCATGGGCAGCCGCTTTCCTCTCCAGGGTGACCCATCGACCTCCCCGGCGTCGGGTTGGCCTCCAGCAGTGTGGCCATGGCGGGATCTTCAGGGCTGGCCCCTGGACCCGAGAATGTACAACCAGCGCCTTGGTGCGGGGGTGCACTGAGGCACTGAGCTGCACCCAGGCCGCTTCCACAGCGGTGTGCACTTAGAGAGCAGCTCGCTAACTTCTGGGGGGACCCACGATATCCCATAGGGTCGGGGGACGAGGTGCGACCGCAGCAAGGTGTGCAGCGACACAGGGACTGCAGGCCCAGCCACGTCTGACTCTAGGGGGGAGCCCTGCCCTCCTCAGGGAGGTGCCCCCTCGTACTGGGTAGGGCTCGGAATCCTGGTGCCCCAAACACAGTGGTCAGGGAAGGGGGTCTCCCTTTCCTCCTGAGGGCACGCCCGCCACCTTTATCCGGTGGCCCACACTTGTGCGGGGCTTGCTACTAGAGAGTCCCAGCCATTAACTAACTTAATGGGACCGTGAAAATCTCAGCGGCTCTCCCAATGGTCGGCCTTGGGGTTGGTGCTTAGAGTCGGAAAGACGCCTGAAGTCTGACGCCCGATGGGGGACTCGCCCCCGAGGAACGTGAGCTCAGGCCAGCTCCATGAGCAGCATGAAGGGCACTCCGGGCTCGGGAGGGAGGACTCGGTGCTTCTTCCCGAGTTTGCATTCAGGGACGGGAGCCACGCTGCACTCCACATGGAGGGTCCTTTCACATTCGTGGTGGCACTGCCGCCGCCCCTGCTCTGTTCACCAGTGTCATCCCGGCTTAGTGGGATGGGGGTGGGGTTCGGAAGCCTCATCCACGTGATGGAATCAGGCAGGACAGCGTCTAGAACACAGGAGTGGTCAATCCCGTACCCGGTGAAGCGGGAAGCAGTGGTCTTGTCATCAACCCCAGGTTCCCAAGGGCTGAGATCTGGGTCCAGCCCCCTCCCTGCCAAGTCCCTGCCCCAGCTGACGAACGTCCCTTGGCAGGGCTGTATCTGCACCTGTTAGGCTGGTAAGAAAGGCCATGATAGGGTCTGAGCACCTGCGTGCGGGCGTTTCTCAAACTTGCCAGAGAATAGTCTGTTGGGAGCAGATTAAATGCAGACTCCCAGGCTGGACAGAGGCCCTGGGATGTGTGCTCTCCACCACGCAGGCGATGCTGATGCGGCCACCCGGGAACCGGGGCCAACCGTGCCCGAGACAACCTTGCTCCTGAGTTGTCCCCGCGTGGTGGGGCGGCTGTCAGACGGAGGGAGAGAGGCCAGTTTTGGCTGCGCAGGAAGGGAAGTGCCGGGAACCCCCAGCCTGCTGTCCTAGCTGCCACCAGTGAGAGCCCTGGTGAGGGGTGGGTCTGCCAGCAAGGGGGGCGCCCTGCTTCAGAGGGGACCCTGGTGGCAGACAGGAAGCGGCCCGGGCGCGGGCGGCATGTGCACCTTGCTCCTGTGCTCCGGCAGTCGTTGCAGATGCCAAGTCGTGCCCTGTCTCTGAGCCTCTGCCCCCGTCCATGAGAACAGCGATGGGAGGAGAGGCCACACCTCTGAGGAGGCCGCAGAAGCAGCCTGATTACAGCCTGGGGAGCCCTCTGCCTCCTCCCGTGCTGCCCCTCACCCAGGCCCCATCCGTCTGGACCCCTCTCATGCTGGCCGGTAACCTCTGCTGCTCCTTCCCCTTCCTCTGGAGAAAGACTCATTTCCAAACTCTGCAAGCCCGGCGCCTGTGCCCCGCGCTCCTCTGTGCTCCCCCACATCCCCTTCCTGTGGGGCGTCCTTTCATCCCTCCCTACGCCCTCCCACTCTTTCTTTCCCTCCTTGGGAGACGGTGGTGTGCAGGCGTGGTCAGTCTGGAGCCTGAATGGGTGGCAGGCTCCCGGCCCCAGGCCTGCTGGCCCATATAAACGAGTCATTGCTGACCCCTGGTGCCAGGAATGTCCACCTGCAGTGAGTCCTAGAGCCGGGCTCTCCCCAGGTGTGTGGGGCTGTGGATGGCAATGACCTGGGCGTGGGCTGCGCACTGGACTCTGGGTGGACGACCCCGTTAGTAGGAGATGGGGTCGGACAGTGGTCTTGAATGTGGACCGTGTGCCGTGTGCGCTGAGGGGCTGTGACATGGTGTCACCTGGTCAGAGCTGGCTCCGGGGCGATGCAGTTGGCACAGTGTGGAGGGGTGGCCGGAGGCAGGAGACCAGTGCAGGAGACCAGTGGAAGAATGGGGTGGAGGAAAGAGTCTGGGGGAGGACGAGCGGGGGCTGGCTTTGGGGACAGCTGTAGACGAGGGGGCGTGAGGATGGGGACTCTCTCATTTGTCTACCGGCCCCTTCACTCCCTCATGACTTCAACAACTGAGTGCCCCTCCCTGGTGCCAGATGCCCAGGAGGCCGTGGTCAAGGCAGGTGAGGCCTGTGGGGGAGGGGCGGGGGCAGGATAATAAGGCCAGGAGACTGCGAGAGTGACCACCACTGTGGTGGAAACGGATGGGATGGTAGGACGGAGAGAGCTGTGTGGCAAGAAGGGCAGCCCTTCTCGAGGGAGCAGCTGGAGCTGAGGTACTGACCAGAGCAGTGAGAACAGGGCTGTGAGGCGTGGTGGGGGACCAGGGCCACCTCTTTGCGGCGGCAACCCTGAAAGCCTGAACAGGGCGGGCCGACATCCCGTCTCCCAGCCACCCCCTGGCCACGGCAGAGGAGAAGCGTTGGGGGCGTGGTGGGTGGGTGGCCAGTCCACTGGACGGGGTGTGGCCGGGGCCTCCGGCAAAGCACAGCCAGCCTGAGAGGCAGAGCCGGCAGACTGGCTGACAGGTTTGGAAGTGGTGGTTGAGAGGGAACCAAGGTGAACCCGCTGACCTGGGTGCCTGATGGCTGACGGTGGCCGGTAGTGGGCGGGGAGAGGTAGGTTTGGCGAAACTAAGTTGCCTTTGACAGTGAGGTGTGAGGAGGTGGGGTGGTGCTCTGTCACCCACCAGAGGAGCAGAGGGTTGACGGTGACGTTTACACAAGGGTGGGGAGAAGTTGCAAGGACAAGGTGGGGCTCAGTCTTGGATATGTAAGGGTCCTTGAGGGACATCTGGGTCACATGGGGGCCAGTGGTTGACAGGTCTGAGGCTCAGAAGAGGCGTGGCTGGGCTAGAGAGGGTTAGGGGCACGGGCTCCGTGTGCCCCCCAGGAGAGTGTGTGGAGGGAGAGGCTGAGGTCTCCGCATGTAGAGAAACAGCGGGGGTGGTGGGGGGGTCGGGGCAGGGAGCATCAGGCGTCCTGGAGAGAGGTGGGAAGGTGGCAAGCGCCGTCCCAGGCTGTAGCTGGACAGTGGCAGCAGGGGAGGCGGCAGGTTCTGGGGAGGAAAGATGGGGGCTTGAGGAGGAGGCAGGGCCACTGATGGTGTCTGCAGGGTGTGGGAAACTCTGGGGCTGAGGAGGGAGGGTGGGGGGTGGGCTCCAGCCTGGGCCAGTGAGCCTAGGGCTGGGGGGACTGAACCGGTGGAGAGCAGCAAAGAGCGCCGCCCTGTGCTGGGGGAACGAGGTGTCGGGAAGATGTGGCCAGGACCCAGTTGCAGGGCTCTTAACAGGCGCTGTGCTGTCCTAGAGGCTCGGAGCAGAGCCCCCATGGGCCTCCCCAGGCCTGGTGGGGCAGTGGGCGGCAGGGCCTCCCAGGTGCCATGGCTCAGCCTGGCCCGCAGTGCAGGTCTGGGGCCGCTCAGAGGTGGGCTCTGCCTCCTGAGCTGAGCTCTCACAAGGGGCGTCACGGACTCCCCGCCCCAACTCCTTTACAGGGTAGAAACAGCCCTCCTTGGTCGCACTGTCCCTTCACTGTCGCCCTCCTGTTCTCGTGGCTTTGCATGGGGCGGGGTGTGGCTCTCAGGTGGGCAAAGATTTGGCGCCCGCCTCCCCGTCTCCGGAGTCTGCATTGCGTTTTCTCATTTAAGCATCTGTTGCTCATGGGAAGCCATATCCCTGATGTTCCCCAGCCCCTTTAAAAAATTTTTATTTTAAAGTTCATATACAGCAAAATTCAGTGCATTACGTTTAATTTTTTTAGGAACAACGTGCCCGGATGGCAGAGTACCGCCGCCTCCATTAGAGGCCCGGCTTGGAGGCAGAGCCTCTTGAACTCTGCGCGCAAATCCATGCAGAAGAGTGCAGAGGAGGAGCGGGCCCGAGGGGCTGTGCCCCCCAACCCAGGAGGGCAGAGCCCGGGGCTGGTCCTCGGGCCCTGAGGTGGGCGTCTACGGGACGGCAGCTTGGCTCCCCTGGACTCCCCCGCCCCCCCGACAACTTCCCTGCAGCCCAGACCCCTGAGAGGGTGGGAGCCCTGACTGTCCAGTGGCCTTGGCCACGCAGCCCTGTCACTCAGGACCAGCTCAGGGCAAGCAGGAGGTGGGCAGGTGTCAGATGGGAGAGGCCTGTGGACGATGCCACGGAGACTGTTCTTGTCCAGACAGGCTCCTGGGACTGCCCCCCATGAGGCCGGGAGGGACATCTGCCTTCAGAGGGAGAGTGAGTCTGGGTGGGCGGCAGGAAGCACCACACCGTTATTTGAGGCAGAGAAAGGTCAGAGGTCAGAGTTCACGTCTATGGGCCATAGGCTGCTGGGTAAGATTGTGTTTGGAAAAAATATCCTGCTGCTTCAAGCAAAGTTGGAAAGGGGCTGATGCAGGGACACCACAGGGAGCCCCCAGCCAAGAAGTGACAAGACCATGCTGGACTCCGCTCGTCTGAGTTTGGCTGAGTGTTGTCTGGGTCCAGGCGTGGCACCTGCAGACTGGGGGTGCGGTGCCACGTCCCTTACACCACTGCAGCCACCAGGGGTGCTGTGCTACCCCGCTCAGGATTTGCGCTCCCCTTGTCCAGGGTTCGCCGTGGGACTTGGTGCCCCCTCCCCTTCTCCCCTGGTGCCTGTGGGCTGCTCCCTTCCCCCCACACCAGCCTTGGCAACCTAGGGCTTCACCTTCCCCAAGACGCTCCCGTCCCTGGAGACCTGTGACTGGACGGGAGACATCCAGGCTCCCAAGACTAATCAGGGCGGGAGGGCTGTCAGCTGGCTAGAATTAAGCCGTTCCCAGCCTGGAGGGGGCAGCAGTGGGCGTAGAGGGCAGCGCCTGCTCCGTCTGTGCCCCAAGCAGGTCCGGAGCAGCTAGCAGGGCAGCGATCACCAGGGTGTGCTATGCCTTCAAGCTGACCTGCGGCCACTAGCTGCGACTCTGGCAGGGGCCTGGCCACTCGGGACTGCAGTGTGTTCGCCGGGGGCGGTGCTGGTCGCCTGTGCCGCCACCGCAGGGCCCTCTGCTCAGAGAACTAGGCCGCTCCGCCACTGTGCTCATCAAACTGAACTTCTTTATTAAGTGCCAAAGGTCCGGCGGGCGCAGCCCCTGCAGCCCCTGCGCCGGGCCGTGCTCCGCCGCGTGGCGCGGGCTCACTTCACGTGCTCGGCCGCGTGCGAGGAGCAGTAATACTTCTTGTGGGCGATGAAGGTGGACAGGCTGCTGAACCTGATGTTGCACAGGCGGCAGTACCTGTGGCTGCCGCCGGGCGCCGGTGCCCCCTTGCCGGGGGTCTGCGCGCCCTTGTCCGAGAGCGAGGGCGGCGTGGGCGGGCGCGGCCGCTCGGGGGACGGGGCGGGGCCGGGCCGGGGGCTGCCGGCGGCGGGGCCCGGTGGCTCGCGCAGCTCCTGGCCGTTGAGACCGTCGCGGGGGGCGGGCGAGGGCGTCCGGGGTTCGGCCGGGGGCGGGGCCAGCAGCAGGCCGTGCGCCAGGCGGAGGTGCTCGGCCAGGTCCCCGCGCGCCAGGTCCCCGCGCGCCGCGCCGTTCGGGGGGCCGCAGGGGCGCGGGTCCGGGCGTGCGCGCAGGTGGCGCGGGGCGGCGGGGCACGAGAAGCGCTTGTGCGCCAGGTAGGCCTCGAGGCTGTGGAAGCTCACGCGGCAGGCTGTGCACTCGTGGTAGTCGGCCAGCGCGGGCAGGGGCGCGGGCGGGGGCGGGGGCGGGGGCGCGGGCGCGGGGGGCTGGCGCCGCGGCTTCTTGCTCAGGTCGATGGGGCCGTCGGCCGCGTCCGGCCCGCTTCCGCTTCCGCTTCCGGGCCGCGGCGACGGTGACGCCGGCGGCTCTGGGGCGTGGCCGGGCGCCGGGGGCGTGGCCGGCCCGGCCGCGTGCAGCTCGTAGAGCTTGCGGCGCCTGCGCGTGCGCACGGGCGGCGCGGCGGCGGGGGCCCCGGGGGTCCCGGCGGGGGCGGGGCGGCGCGGCGGCGGGTCGTGGCGAGACGCGCAGTAGTAGCGCTTGTGCACCGTGTAGGTCTCGTGGCGGCTGAAGCGGATGTTGCAGGCCTCGCACAGCGTCCGGCGGGGGTCGTCGTCCTCGTCCGCCCCGCTGCCCGGGCTCGGGCTGCCCTCGCTGCCCCGGCCCCCCGCCTCAGCCTCGGGCGTGGCCGCGCCCCCCGCCTCGTCCTCGCGCGCCCCGGGGCCCGGCGAGGAGCGCGCCGCGTCGGGCTCGGCGGGCGGCGGGTCGGGGGGCGCGCGCGCCGGGTTGGGGGAAACCCTAGGCCTGCGGGCGGAGGGCGCGTCGTCGGGCGGGCGGCGGCCGGAGCAGTAGAGGCGCTTGTGCACGTAGAAGTTGTTGACGTTGTTGAAGGTGATGTCGCACTCGAAGCACGTGGCGCCCTTCGGGGCCCCCGCGAAGAGGCCGGTCTGCGCGCCCGCGCCCGCCTGCAGCCGGCTGTGCACCAGCTCGGACATCTTGGCCAGGATCTCCGAGGCGGGGGGCGCGGCGGGGAACTGCGGCAAGAGGAGCGCGCCGGCCGCCAGGCCCAGCTCGCCGGGGCGGCCCAGCTCGCCAGGACCCGGGCTGGAGCCCGGCGTGGGACTGGAGATCTCCGCTTTCACCCTGGCCTGGGCGGGGCTGGGCGGTGACGGCGTCCGTGAGGGGACCCGGGGCCCTGGCTCTGCCTCGGGCTCCTCTGCTGCCTCCACCTTGATGCTCCTGGGGGCCGCCGGAGGCTCGCTACTGCCCCCGTTTTGGGGCACCGCCTTGGTCTCTCCGTTTGTGGCCTCGGCCAGGATCTTCCTGTCTAGTCCTGGCTGTGGGGTGGGCTCCAGGCCTAGGTCGGTGGGGGCCAGGGGCCCATGCAGGGCTGCGTGCTGCTGGAAGCTGGCCAGGCTGTCTGCAGGGAGACCCCAGGGGCCACACTTCAGGGCTGGAGCAGGACCTGCCTGGGCCAGACCTGAGGAGGGGGGACGGCAGGAAGGGGAGAGCTGGGCTGGGCAGAGGTGGTGGAGGGCCCAGGCTGAAATTGACTCCCAGCTGTCTCATGGACAAGCCCCCTCCCTTCCCAGTCCTCAGGGGGGCCCCAGGGACTCACCTGGGGGAAGCTTGGCTGCAGGGTGTCCGGCTCCTGGTGAGTAGATCTCAGCTTTAGAGCCAGGCTGGCAGACCATGTGGTTGGTCACCAGGTGGCTATAGAGAATGTCCCTTGTGGTGGAGATGAAGCCACAGCTGTGGCAAACACCTGTGGGCAGGCTGTGGTGTCAGGGTCCTGGGGTGGGCTGGGCCCCACAGACACCCACTCTGCCCGCTCCCTTCCCAGCCCCCACCTACCACTCAGGGTGTCTGTGTGCACCTTGAGGTGCCGCTCACAGTTGGCCTTGGTGGTGAAGGCCGACAGGCAGATCAGACACACGAAAGGACGTTCTCCTGGAACACAGGGCTCAGTGAGGGGCCGGCTCCTGCACCCCAGCCTGGCTGAGGACCCATGATGCAGGCTGTGTGTGGAGGGTTCTTTAAGTTCTGTCTCCTTGGCCCCTTGTCTCCCAGGACCCTGGCAAGGGCCCGGGCCTGAGCTGGCCATCCAGGTGGCCACCTGTGTTCTGGGAGCCCTGTGGGAGGCTGCGTGGTGTGGCAGGACGAACACACAGCCATGTGTGTGGCACGGGACAGTGGGCGCGCACGGGTTGTGGCAGAGGACAGTGGGGAGGGGCGTGGGACCTCACCGCTGTGGCTGCGCATGTGGATCTCCAGGGAGCTGGCACTGGGGCAGCTTTTGCGGCACTGGGGGAAGGGGCACACGCGCTCGTTGGGGTAGGTCTCCTTGGGCTTCTCGTCGGTGGCGGCCGCGGCGGGGGAGCCGGCGCTCTGGCGGCTGGCGCAGTAGTAGAGGAGGTGGGCTTGCAGGTTCCGCTCGCTCCGGTACCAGATGCCGCAGTCCTTGCACGGGAAGACGTCTTCTGTGGGGGCGAGAGGCAGGCACAGCCTGAGGGGACACCCCAGCAGCAGAGGGGGGCTACCTGTGACCCAAGGCAGGGCAGTGGGCTCTCTGCAAAAGGAGGGTTTTGCCTGGCTGCCGGCGTCGTCCTCCAGCTCTGAGGAGTGAGGTTTGCGACCTGCTCCCTGCCTCATCACTGCCACCCCTTCTCATCTGTCCCTTTATAATCCTGGGTTCTCTTTCTGCAGATCTCCAGGCTGCCGTGGGAACACGTGGATGGGGTCTCTGAGTAAGCCCAGGATGGCCCCATGCTGCCTGTCAACAGTGAGCCCCATAAGGAGATGCTGTGGCCTCATGGGGGGCCACGGAAGGAGTGTGGACACATTAGTGGACAGGGCGAGGCTGGGGCCCGTGACATGGTCGTGTGTGTGACTTGTGGGGGTGACTGTGTGCACATGAACGTCCCCTGGGGAGGGGATGTGAGGGATGACATGGTCCCGGGTGCCTGTGGAGGAGCAAGCAAGGTGTGCGTGTGCACATGCACAGGTGCCTGAGTGGTGCATGGGGAACCCACATGAACGAATCCCTGAGCGCTCGGCCTGAGGACGAGAGTTGAGCATGGCTCCAGTGGCTTCTGGGGTGGGGTGGGCAGGGGTGAGCCAGGGGCTGCCGGGGAGGCCCTCCTGTGTCCCCACCCCTGTACAGCTGGATGGCACCACATCAGTTACTGATCGAATGGTCACATTTGCGGAATTCACCAGATTTGCCCCAGCGCTGCCTCTAGCTCCCCCATTTACAGGATCGTGGGTTGCAGGCTGGTTTTGCCCGCGGGTGAGGGTTCAGACGGGCACTTCCCCGGTTTCTGGTTCTATTGTCTTTGTACCAGAATTTTAAGGAATGTTCTCTCTGTCTCTGCCCCTTGGCTGAAGGCAGCGGAGGGCCTGTTCTGTGCCTTGGCCTTGACCTTGACCTTGAGGTGGAACCGCGGGGCCCCAGACTCCTTATCTGGGTTTTCGGCTGTGGCGTGTAGAGACCAACGTATGATGTGGTTTCTGCCTCTGCAGGTCAGGACGTGCTTCTGGGCCGCTGTCTCTGCTGCTTATCCTGGGCCCCACCCCCCCGAGGCTGCCACGCTTCCACCTTCTGCCTCTTTTAAGGAATTTAAGTATCTCTTGGGTGAGGTGGCCTGTCACCTCTCATGTCCCTGCTGTTTTCTGGCGACTTTTCTGCCTCAAATCCCCTTCCTGCTGTGCTGTTTATTTCTGTTTTTCGAGTTTCCTTTTATTTGGGGGCCTCGAGGCAGCTCTGTTCTTTATGAGCTGAGGCCTTGAGCTGCGACCAGGACCTGAGAGGCCACCAGTGGGTTTGTTTTCGTATCCACAAGGTCATTGCTGGGAGCTGGGTGCCGGCTGCAGTGAGAGAGGGGGGCCGGGAGCCTAGGAAGCGCATTTGAGCCCTGGCCTTAGCCCTGCACCTTGGTGAGGAGGATCCTGGTCCCACCAGCCAGGGCTGAGCACAGGCTGACCACGGGCAGGGCCCAAGTGGGCACAGCCCGGGGAACCTGCACCAGCGCCTCGAGGCCAGTATGACCGTTGCCCCCAGTTCACAGGCGGGAAAACTGAGGTCTGCAGTGTGGAGTGTCAGGAGTTAAACGGGTCCGATGGACTGTGGGGCTCAGGTTATTTAGCCCTTCCAGACCACCAGCTGGATGGGCCCCTGCGGAGGGGGCTGGGGCAGGGCTGGGGGTGCAGAGACGCCTGGCCTACGGTGGTTTCTGCAGTGAAATGCCCCTGGGATGTTGCTGCTTGCGGGTGAGGCACTGACACCAGGGCCTCAGACCAGGGAGCGGAAACCGAGGCCCAGAGGGGTGAGCCTGGGCTGGCTTGAGAGGAAGCCCCCCTGCCTGGGGCTCCTTGTAGCCTCCCTTGGAGCAGCCAGACGGAGAGATGGGAGGTGGTCTCTGCACATGGTAGGGAATGAGAAGAGAGAACTTCCGGCTTCCCTGTTCCCCTGAAACCTCGATGTCCAGACGAGACTCCACTTGTTCGCCCCCGCCGGCCTCTCAGTCCCCCGCAGACCCCATTCTCTGGGGCAGTGGCCTTACCCTGTCCAGCCCGGCCCCTCCACGTGGGCTCTAGGGGTGCACCTCACGCCTGTGGCTCGTCCTCTGCCCCCCCGCTGCCATGTCACTAGTTTCTCCTCATTTCCACAAGCACGCAATGCGCATCAGGATCGCTCAAGTTCCAGCAATGCAAGCCGTGTCCCCTCCGCACACTTTCTTGCTCCCTGCTCCCTCAGCTGCAGTAGTTTTGGTCAAGGTCACACTGACCTCTGTGCTGCCCAGTCCAGCGGTCAGCTCTCTGCCCTTGGTCTCACCACAGCCTGGACACAGTGGACCCCCACGGCCCGCAGCAGACGACTCGTGTTTGCAGGTCCTGCCCCAGAGCTCCCCAGAGGACTGTGCCGCTGTCTGTGCCCTGAGCCCCAGCCTGTGGCCCCAGCTCCCTCTGAAGGTGCACTTGAGCATCTAGCTGTCTCGGGGTCAGGGGTCAGGATGCTCAGAGCGGCTCTCCCGACTGCCCTGCCCACGACAGTACTGACGGAGATCCACCCAGACGGTGCACCAAAGCCCCTGCCTCGTGCTTGCTGCCTCCTCCCCACCCCACCCGGCAGGTCCCTGTTTGCTCCGACGCCCCATCTGGCCTGTCTTGTCTGCCACCACCTGCTTCAAACCATCATCACGTTCGATTTCCTCAAAAAGGTTACTTTTCTTCTGATTTTGCAACCCTGCAGTCGCCACTTAGCCTGGGTGATCCGACACTAAATCACACTGCCCTTCGCTGCTGAGAAGCCTGCCGTGGTACCCTTGGTGCGAGAGGAACCCCAGCCCTGGCCGGGAACCACCCTGGGAGGTTTCCCTCCCTCATGCCCGCCATACTGCTGGCTCTGGCCATGGTGACCCCTCGCTGGCCTCGGCCCCACGGGCTGTGCACTCAGCTGCTCTTTCCCGGTATCTGGGTCCTGGCCTGTCACCTCATCAGAGTGGTTCTCATGGGTACCCCAATAAAGGAGCCCCCCCGCCACCGTCCCATCATGTCACTGCTGTCCTTCCTTGTGGGATGTGCCCATGCCCTCAGGGCGGGCCAGCGCCCCCACCTCTGTGACCGACTATGTGGTTCAGCGTGGAGGTTAGAGTGTCCTATTTGACTCTCAGGATGACCATTTGAGGCAGACCGTCGTGATGAGGAGCGAGGGACCAGCACACCAGGTGTGTTCATGGGGCCGCGGCTGCCGCTCAGTGTCCACGGCGCATGTCAGTGACGCTGAGGCTGAAACCTGCCCGTGCGCCCTGCATGCCCCTGGGAGGGCAGGGCAGGTTTGTGCCTGCTCGCCGGGCCTTCCCAGGCTGCGACCCGAGCCCTGGGCCCTGCTGACCACCTGGCTCCTCTCTGCTGGGCTGCCCCTTTGGTATCTGCCGCCCAACCACTTGGTCCTCTCGTGCTGGCTGTGGCCTTGAGCCCCCCACTGGGACCCCACCTTCAAGGCCCCCGTGCACGTCCCTGCACCACACCTCCTCCATTGCTCAGATCCCGGCGGTGACAGATCTTTGCAGATCTTGAGCTCCTGGGCGCCACTGCAGCCCCGCGCCTGGGCACTGCCGTGGAGCTGCGGTGGTACGGGCAGGTGTACTCACTGTTGATGACCGCCGTGGCCAGGATGGACGCCATGCCGGCCTGCTGGGGCAGGAGCTGGATGTCGGTGTGTGACGAGGCCGGGCCCTCAGGCTCCGCCGGCTCCTCCTTCACAGGGTGGCTGGGGGCCCCACGGGGCTCAGCCGTGAGGCGCACGCTCAGCAGTCCACCAGCCGGCACCGGCTTGGTGAGCCTGCACCAGAGGGCTTCGTCTGCAGGGGAAGGAAGGGCCTCGTGACGGAGGGCCCGCGGCCTGTGTAGCGCCTCCCCGTCTCCTCCTCATGGCCCCTCTGTGCTGCCCCATCTCAGAGACCAGGGTTTGGAGTCAGGGTGGGGAATGGAGCCAAGGCCATGGTCAGGGAGTGGCCATGCCCAAGTCATGCTGTGGCTGTCAGTTTCCACGGTGAGCCATCTTGCCTCCATGGGGTGACTGGGTGGTCCCTGGGGCCTGTGCACTCCTTGGGTCTCCCTGCCCTGCGGCCATCCAGTGGGAGGCCCTGAGGGTGGCCAGCAGAGCTGCCCCCTTTTCCAGAAGGGGTGGCATGTTGGACAGGTGGTGGAGGGCCTGGTGGTGGTGGGGCCCGCCCTACCACGTCCTCCTCCCTGCGCGGTGCAGCTGTTCCCTCGGCGGCCTGCAGGGGGCAGCCTTGGCCAACAGGACCCAGGCTGGGCTGCCCACCGTTGCCTCCAGCGGCTGGCAAGGAGGCCACCGGGAACCTCCCAAGAGGCGCAGGCCCTACCCAGACGAGGCCACCTCGCTAACGTCAGCGTTGCAAGGACCCCTGTTCCACCTGGGCAGACACAGGTGGTCGGAGCCCTGCTGAGCTGGCCAGCAAGAGGGGCAGGCCAGGCAATGTTAACTGGCCCACGTCCCAGCTGGGTGTGCCAACCCACAGCTGACCGCTCGCTGCCAACACTGGCACTCAGGTGCCTTCCGGCTGCTCTCTGGGTCCTTAGAGCACCCTTTGTGGGGAGGAGGGGCTGGGGTCCTTTCCCCCCATGGAGGGGGAAACTGAGGCACATGGGTGAAGTGCTGGCCGGGGTGTGTGGGGTTGGCAGGATGGAGAGCCAGGTCCCCAGATGCTGAGCTCTGCACCCCTCTGCACCCCCATGATGCCCAGGAGGCCCCCAGGGGTTATGGTGGGGGTGTGTGTGGGAGCAGCCCCAGGCTTGGCTCCTGCCCACCCCACGGCCTTGGCTCTGTCCTAAAGAGAGTGCCCTCAGGACGGAGCTGCCTCCACTTGGCTGAACATGCTGTGTGCTCAGGACATGACGACAAGGGCAACACCCCCAGAACATTCTAGCAAACGGAGCCCCCCCGTGGGGGAATGAGGCTGATTTCCCGTGGTCAGTGGGTGTGCAGCCCTCCTGGGCGGCCACGTTCCAGCGGACAGCCCTTGCTTGGCTATAGAAGTTGTCACGTCATCTGCCCCACATCCTCCTCCTGGGCCTGCACCGCCTCGACTGTGATGGGGGCCCCCGCCACCCTGATCCTCACACACGGAAGACCGTGCTGCACTGTCCTCGGGATGAAACCACCCAAGGCAGGTGGGACCAAGGCGATGGAGATGGAAGCCCCGCCCCGCGCCTACACGGCCTGACCTCTGAACTGAGAATGAGGGCAGTGAGGACCCCTGTCCTGCTCTCCCTCCTCCCTCCCAGGCCTCCCTCCTGGGCCACTCCTTTTAGAAGATGCAGGGAGGCAGGAGCGAGGCCAGGGCAGAAGCTCTTGGGCCACCAGCTACCGTGCCTGGCCAAGCTCTCTGGTCAGCCTCACACAGCGATGGAGGCCCCAGAAGGTAAGGGGCTGGCTCCAGGCCCCACAGCTGGGTTTGTACCTGGAGCGAGCCAGACTGTGCAGGGCCCTGAGCCAGTTGGCACCTGCATCCACCCCTGCCAGCCCACCTGTCCTGGGCTCCTCCGCTGACCCCAGAGGCCCTGAGAATGGCCATCGCCTGGGCCTGGAGGAGCAGCAGGATCTGGCCTCCTGAGACCCCCTCCTCCCGCCCCAGGGCTGGCCTCTGTCTGGCCCCAGATGGTCTTCAGTCAGGGCACTGGGGGTGTGGTGGCGGGGTGGCAGCCCCAGGCCCAGCCCTGAAAAGCTCGCCTCTCACCTTGGGCGAAGCAGGCTGGTTTCCCTTTAAGGGCTGGCCAGGGACAGCCAAGTGACCCCCGCCTTCCGGAAAGCTGCGAGGGGAGCGCCGCGATACCCACCCTTCCTGTAGATCTCCATGGTGGCCTCGTCCGTGGTCAGGGCCGGGGGCAGTGTCCTCAGCCAGCAGGCCTCGTCCTCCAGCAGCAGGGCAAGGGCCGGGCTCTGGGGGCAGAAAGGAGCAGTCAGCAAGGACAAGTCGTGCCCTTGGACACAGCCCGGACGAGCCCAGCTGGGGGGTCCCCACGGGCCACGTGACGGGAAGCCTGAGAGACCGCCTGGCGGGGTGGCCAGGCCAGGCTGTGGACCGGCTCCGCATCAGCACTGAGCTGCGACAGAGACACGGCAGGGAGCCGGCACCTTCCGTGGTCTGGCATTGGGTTCTCTTGGAAACTGAGGTCAAGCAGCTTGTTCAGGGTCGCAGAGCCAGTGAGTGGCAGAGTGGGGATTTACACCCAGATTGGTGCTTTCCCCTTGCCTCCTCCTCCCAGTGGCTGCTGGGTGCTACCTCACAGCCCACAGGGTGCATGGGGCTGGACCAGCCAGGCTCCTCCCACAGAGGCCCCCAGAGGCCTCCAACACGAGCTCTGTGGGCCGAGGCCGAGATCGGCCCAGAGGAGATGGCATCTCCCCAGAGAGGGACTTGCGTGTCCTCCCCGACAAAGGGGCTCCCCCTCGCTGCTGGGCACGGCAGCCCACCTTCACCCCGTACATCCTGGTGCCGGCACATGGCGGCGGACACTCCAAGAACACCTGCCTGGGCCCAGCCACTCTCTGAGGTCCGCAGGCAGCAAGATGTCCCCTTGCTGAGCTGGCTCAGCCCCAGCCCCTCCCTGCCGCTCCCAGAGACGGAGATCGGTGTGTGGGGTCTGCCCTGGGCCCACCCAGCCTCGCTGGCAGCCCGGAAAGCACATTGCCCTTTTCCCATCTCACAGGTAAGGAAACTGAGGCACGGGCAGGCGAGGGGAGGGCAGGGACAGCCTGTGCCAGCCCTGCCTCGCCCAGCCATGCTCTCTCCCCGCAGCTGGGTCTGCAGCCTGGCCTGTGCAGCGCCGGAAGGAAAGAGCGCTCTGGGCTGGTCCTCTGGCTGCCAGTAGCCACAGAGGGGGGTGGCCTGATTTCCAGAGTCCTGGCCCCCGCCCGCCAGGCAGCAGAGGAAACACAGGGCTCCATCCCAGAACTGCTGGGGGCGTGGGCGGGGCTGCCTGCACCCCACTCTGGCCTGGCCCTGGTCAGTGGAGGAGACAAGGTGCAGGTCACGGCTGGAGGGCGGGCTGGTGGACAGAACCCCCCCCCCAGCTTTGCCCCAGGAGGTTGGGGTGACCGCTGCTGCTCCCCGGTTCTGGCTGGCTCCTCTGCTGGAGGTCCCCAAGCTCAGTCACTGGGTGCTGTATGGAAAGGCACAGTGTGTGTCCACTTTGGGTATTTTTCTTTGTTTTATGCAAATAAATGCTTTTTACTCAGAAATTTGTGCATCAGGACCTTTAACTGAAGAACTGGTGTCACTTGCTGTCCCTGGAGATGCTGCCACATGGATGGAGGAGGGTTTGTGCAGCCCAAGGCCACACACGGCAGTCGGCCAGGATGCTACCATGGCAGGAAAGCCGGGGCAGTGATGGTATGTGGGGCGTCCTCTGGCAGGTTCCGGGCACCTCCCTGCCAGGTCTGAGCCCACAGCATCTGTCTTACTGGCCTTTGCTTGCGGGGACCACAAGGGCTCCGGAGCTGGGCATCAGGGTCCAGTCCAGTCTCAGCCTCCCCCACTGTGACCTTTTGGGCAGGGCACCATGCCTCGACCCACGGTGGCCCCTATGACCACCTCTGTGACTTGTCCCCATCCCGTTGGAGACTCGGGAACCTGCAAGATCAGGCCTGTGGCCGGGCACTCCCGGTGACAACTCCCAGGAGGCTGGGGCACCCCGGCCCGTGGACACCCTGGCCCCGGGAACAGAACCTGCCATCCCAGCACCACTGCCCTCCCTGGCCCTTGGCATGTCTCTGCAACCGAGTCATGACCTGCTGCTTGGCGCTGTGGCCCAAGCCCACGTGCTCACTCCAGACGGGTCCTCATCCTGCCACCTGCTTGCAGGGCGGGTCACGTCTGTGACTCAGTTTCCCCGAGGGCATCAGGAAGTAGCAATCTGTGTGAATCCCTCCCTTCCAACAGTGTCCACCCGGCCCGTGACCAGCACACAAGCCTGGCGTCCTTGCTCCTGCCTTCCCTTGGCCAGCAGGATGCAGCAGGCAGGGACTGCGCCTTTGGGCCCAGAAGGCTGGCGTCCACCGGGGCACCCGCCAGCAGTCAGCACGTGCTGACGTGGGGCCAGCATCTCCCCTGCGGAGCCTGCCTGGGTGGGCCGGTGCAGGCGGCAGTGGTGATTCTGACCGCTGCAGATCGGGGCAGGCCGGGGGACAAAGCGGCACCAGTGGGGTGGGTCCATTGGCAGGTGACCATTGGCTCCTATGTCCCAGCTGCGCCGACCTGGGCCAGCAGCTCGCAGCCAGGAGGCGGCCGGGGCCTCCCCAAGCCTCTAATGAATATTAATGAGTGGAGGAGGGCGAAAAAATTAATCTGCCTGATCCTCTGATGGGCGTGCGGTAACGATATGAAATCTAATTATTCGTCCCAATATTTCTAAACCCTCAAACTGAGACTGACAGCTTCCCGGGCGGTTTAATGCTTATCACTCTGGGAGCGCGTGTTCGCGGCTTGATAAAGCAGCCCACAGCCTGCTGACGCGGCAGAAGCCCAGTTTCCCTGCCCCTTCCCACCTTCTGAGGGACGAGGCGCCACGTCCCGCTGGCCGTGCCTCCCGCCGAGGCCCCCTATTCACCAGGCACCCGATGAGTGGCTGCCCCGGGCGGTGCAGGGCCCTCAGTGAGGGTGGACTGGGGGAGGGGGACAGGCGGGGAGGAGGGGGCCTCCGTCCTCCCCCGACCTGACCCCAGGAGGAAACAGGCCAGGATGTCCAGGGCTTCCTGACCAGGCCCTTACCCTATGCGCTCAGCCCCTGCTGCTCGGGGAGGGCCTGGCCCCCACTTACACGGGGAAGGTGGGACGGGTCGGGTGTCCCTGCCAGCCTGCAGGGCTATCAGCCCACGGCTCCAGGGAGGGGAGCACGGCCGCCCGCCTGCCTCTGCCCTGGCCTGGGGACGGCATGCGCAGGCCAGCCCTGAGCTAGAGCCACCCCCCATACCAGGCAGCGGACCCCCGAGAGGGCCGAGGACGCTGGGGGGGCAGGTGTCAGTCCCGCTGGCCCTGTGGAGGGGCCCACTCAGCGCTGGGCTCCTGGTGATATATTTTCTTTTCTTTCCGAAACCCAGTTGCGAGCAGCCCTGGGACAGAAGCCCTTTTCTCTGGTGGTTGAAGGCTCTGGGCCAAGTCAGCCCCCTTCCCGGCCTGGCCCTGCCCATGGGCAGTGGGGTGCAACCCTGGGAGAGGCTCTTCATAAGGCCCCGCCTGGCCCTGCTGCTGAAACCATCAGAGAAGAGGGTGCCGCCGTCCTCCACGGGCACCCAGGCTCGGGCCGCGCTCGCCCCGGACAGGCCGTGTAGGGGTCAGCAAGAAGCCCCACCCCTGCCCTGCCTGCAGCCCCTCGGGGTTGCCCCCTCCCTCCCTCCTGGCTCTGGCTGGCCCACCAGCCCGGGATAACTAACGGCGGCCACTTTAAATCCTCCGGCGCATCTGAGAACCCTCCTTGTTCCCCCAACAAAGAGGTCAGTGTCTGGATGCCGTGCCCGCTGATAACCATCGGAAACCCTATCTCCACCGCATCCGCCGTGACAGCTTCATCTGAGGCTGCTCCCAAACCTTGCTGTGCATCTCATGAAGCAGCCTTGAGGGGAGGGGGCCCCGGCCCAGGGAGCCAGACAGCCCGGCAGAAGGCCAGGGGGGCTGCCGGGGCCCCCCAGGTCACTGCGGGCAGGTAATGGAGGTCAGGCCTGGGGTGGGCTCTGATGGGGGCCTGCACCCACCTCCCTCGTCCTGCAGCCCATACTGAGGAGCCCCCGCTGTGTCCCGCTCACCCGGCCCAGAGGCAGCCACCTTTCTGTCCTTGGCCCCTCTGGTCTCCCCCAGACCCGGTGAAGAACCCATTTCACAGGCGAGCAGACCGTGACACAGAGGTGAAGGACGTCCAAGGCCATGGGAAGTGGCTGTGCGCACATGGGACCAGAACTCGGGTCTGTGTGATCTCCACCCAGCACTGCAGCCTTGTCATTCACTCACTCATTCATTCATTCAGTCAAGAGTCCGGGGCCTGCTGTGGGCCAGGTGCGGTGGCACCGAGAACAGAATAGCAGTCTCTGATCTCCCGCATGGACACTGGAGTTGGGAGGCCAGCAAGAAACAGCCAGTGGAAGCCGGGGGGAAAGTGCTAGAGAAACGGGGACAGGCTGAGAGAGAGGGTGTGAGGCCTGGAGTGGGAGAAGATGTGTGGACAGCAGTGAGCTGGGACGACAGAGGGGAGGGGAAAGCCGCAGGCGGGGACAGCAGGGGGCGGGGTCGGCTTAGGGGAAGGGCAAGCAGGGGGAGGGGACAGCAAGGCGTTGGGCCACGTGGCCCCCAGTCCCTTTCCTGGGGGAGGCCCTGGGCTCAGGGAGGCGGCCAGCTGTAAGGTGGGCCTGGGGCCCTGGCCCAGGGAAGGGGCGGCCAGGGCTGAGAAGGACAGACCTCTTCCAGCCCCAGCTCAGGTTCTTTCTGGCGTGTTAGGAGGGTCCCAGAGCCCCTTCGGGCCCACAGCACCTCCCAGGCCCTGCGGCACTTTCTCAGCCCCTGAAGCTGCAGGCAGGCAAACTGAGGCATGCACAGGAGGTGCCAGGGCCCAGGGAGGCCGGCAGCAGGGCTCCGGTCTGGGGTGTGTCCCCAGGAGGGCGTCTGCCTCTCAGAGCGCCCCACGCTGCACTCTGCTCTGACCTGTCCACCCCCCAGGGGTCAACCTGGCCTGGCCCCGGTCAGCCGCTTGCTAGCTCTGGGCAGCAGCCGGGGTGGGGGGGGGGGGGGGGGGGGGGGGAAGGGGAGGCTGCTGAATGTGGCCCCGAGATATGGCATCAGCGCCTGTGGCTGTGACCTTGTCTGGAAAAAGGGTCTCTGCACGTGTGATTAAATGTAGGGTAATCCAGACGCAGTCACCCTGGGGGACCCAGGTGAGTCCTCACCCAATGAC